ATACTGTCTAAACCATAATTATTTTTAAATGTCTCCTTTCTACTATATACATTAGAATTTTAATAATTCCACTTATTAAACTTCCAGTGCATTTTATTATTGAATCAAATAGCTCATAATTTTATTAATAGTATTAACAACTTTGTGTTGTATTCTATTATGCTTTCTTTTGTTTTCCAGGTTGTATGTGCATCCTTAATTATCTTTTATGGAATCATTTTAATCATTTAGTTTTTGTATTTATTTTAGAAATCTTAACATATTTTTATAATATGGTTGTTAAGTGAATCTGGCTTCCCCATCTCCTTTGTTTGTCAGAGTATGGCAAAAGGTGATCACATATCCACAGGATACTGCAATTGTCATAAATATGAGTCGGTTGCCAAGTGTTTGAATTTTGATCCCATACCATGGGGATGCTGCAGTGATCATAAGTTTGAAAAATGGTCATGTTACATTTTTCAGTGCCATTGTAACTTTGAATGGTCACTAAACGAACTGTTGTAAGTTGAGGACTACCTATAGTCAAAAGAAATAATTGATTTAATTCAGATCTGTGTCTTGTGAATTAATCATTTCAGGGAAATTCATAGAATTAATCCATGGTATCTACCTTCTACCCATTCCATTAATGTTTACTTATGAAGGAAGTATTTTAGTTTAATTATAATTGTTAAGTAAAGTGATTTATTTGCTGTACAAACTGATGTCAGTGAACTACACCACATCAGAATTGAATTAGTAAAAGGTGTCTAAATATCTTTGAAATGCTGAATTTGAAAGCTAACTTTTAAATGTGTATATAAAGTATAAACTACATATTTCTTGAATATTAGTTTGAAGTCATTCATGAATACTGACATGCAATAATAACAGTATTCTGCATTACTTTTGTAATGCTTTTTATACATAAATTATAAAGCCAAGCTGATGAAATGCTAGATTCCAATTGTAACTCCTAACTTAAACAATTAAAGAGTAGACTAAGAGGAGAAATATTTGGTAGAATGCCAAATAGTTTGCTTATAGTTGTCAGTACATCAAATATGTAATCATTTTTGCTTTTGCTTTACCATAGTGACTCCCTGAAAACAGGCTAGTTTTATAATTGTCAATACTACATTTCATGACTTTTTATGTTTTTCTTCATTCTGATTTCAGTTCAATAAATGTCAAACAACCTCAGTTTTTCTACTACTTTAGCAATGCTTTTCTGTGGAATATCAATATGTTGTTCAAATCTCCAGTCAGCCTTGCTCTAATGTGGGACCGTTGATCTAAATGGAATTACCATGTTAAATCTATCGCAGTAAAAATAACTATAAAAAAGTTTCATAACACTAAAAATACTGACCAATGTAATATGGTAGAAGCTATGAGGACACAAATATGCTAACTTATAAAATGTACCTAGAATTCTGAAATAGCCAACTTCAATGAATAGCAAATATAGGTTATATATTTTAATACTTCTAGATATACTGTAAAACAAATACATTTTAATGTGCCTTCAGTATATTGACTTCATGTAGTTAAAATTAGGGCAAGAAGTAATTGTAAGAGCAGATTAATTATTTAGAATGCTTTTTTTAACTTGACATCATCTTCACTACACTCTTTATGAAGCTTAGAAAAAATCTTAGCTAATTCTAGATTATAGCATCACATTTCTAGTTACACTGGCAACAAAATAAATGTGTTTCTCCATCAGCTTCCCTTTCTTGAATCCCACCATTGCAAGATTATGGTATATCCTACACTATGGTGGTTTGTGACTACAGTCAAGACTCTTCTCGGTTATTTTTATTGAACTTTCCATTTCACATGCTGATTAACATGGAGTTTATATTTTAAAATATTTAAATATAAACAAGTGTTAAAATCTGAGAAAGTGCCCATTACACACACACACACACACACACGATATCACTATCGATATTGATATCAATATCTGTCTATCTATCTATCTATCTATCTATCTATCTATCTATTGTCTGTGAAGCTTTCCAAATTAGAAGCCCACATTTTGTTTATCTGGAGCTAGTTATATGAACATTTAAACCCAAGTTCTGTTCCAGATAGACTTATGCAAACTATGGTTGAATCATGATTTTGAAGTATTTCTCTGGATTATTATAGCACAGTTGATTGTGGATATATGCATTCACATTCATATGCAACCATTGTTTGAAATGTCATTGTAGATAATCCACAAAACATTTATGGCAAAATAATGGGAAATATTTTCTAAGAACTATAAATGGCAGAAGGGTGCTATTTTTGATGAAAACAAGCCAGAAGCTGATATGTTTCCATGACAACAAGAGGAGCATTAGACAGTTAAGCCAAAGATAGGGAAAATGGAGATGCTGGGCACTAAGGAATCTCATTCCCTCCGTCTCTCTAACAAAAAGAGCCGGCCCTCTGATTGCTTTCTCTCAAGCTATTTCAAAAATGTTAAAAGAATCCCTCAATTTTAATTTGTACCAGTTCTGGAAAATATGAATATAACATAATCAGACCCATAATAAATATTTTGTATTGTCATTGTTGTATATAATAATAGTCCTTTCATGCCACAAACTCTAAAGAATAGTCTTTGTCAAATAGTGTGATTGAAAGTTGATAGTCAGTGCTGAAAAAATGGTTTTCTAAAAATGTATATTAAACTTGTATTTCATAATACATAAAATTGAATAAATAAATGTACCCAAATTCATTTCCTAGGAACAATTTCAAAACCATTTTCCAGTAGAAAATATAGGTAATCACTATTTAAAACTTGTTGAGTATGAAGCTTCTAGTGTTTTTTTAAAGATATGGATTAGTCAGATCCATTTTTATCTGGATTCTAATCTAGTTATAAAACAGAATTAGCTTGGGCCTGCCTGATAGAATAATTTTACTGGAATTGGACAAAGGGGTTGCAAGTTGATTACTTTACCAAATAGATTAGACCAACAATCAATTCTAAAAGAGACTACTTTTATTGAGAGTAGCTATAATAGCAGAATCTTGCAAGTCTGGTTGTACTCTTCTTATACTTAAGTGAATCAAGGAAGTGTCTAATGACACGCAGCTGCATTTGTCTAACGTCAAAAGCTGGGAAGGTTTGACATGGCTTCAGCTGATTCTTGAATGAAGTTGTGAGGACTGATAAGTGACTTTAGGATGAATTACATGGAAGCATTGTCTTAGTGGCTTCTGGACCAAGGAATTAAAGGAATTACTTGTCATGGAGAGATTGTATCCTAACCTTCAAGAAGCATCTGGAGACGTTTCTGGAAGCAGGACGTAGAAGTGCCAATTAGCAGATAAGACTACAATATCAATTGCAGCAACTTCTTGGTATAGATAATCCTTTGTTCTCTGTTATTCCGTCTATAATTTTACAAAAGGGATGAAAAATGAGGCAGCCAATGGTTACAATTAAAAAGTTCTTAAAAGATCTTTTCAAATTGTAATAAAGTGCATGAAAGTGACAAATGACTGCTATGGTAAAGACAAATTTATTTTTGTGTTAATTAGAGAAAAGAATTTAAAAGTAGAATTATTAATATTGTAATACTGTTGTGTAAATCTGTAGTACAAAAGCACTAAGAATGATACATACAACTTTGGATTTCACTTTTCAGAAAAGATTTTGTCCAGCTGCAAAATATGGGGAAAAGGGCAATTTCATCAAGGAATTGAAACAATTCTTTCTGATAAAATCTTAGTCTACATAACCATATATTATAAACTAAAGAAAAAAATCTCCTGAGTTAGACAAACTGAAATTAATATTATAAAAAATCAGAATTATCTATTTTTAAAATGCTAGCTTAATGCTGTTTTTTAATTTCTGCTTTTAAAATTAATAATTTAAAAAAATCTTCCGAATTATAGCTAAGGCATGGAGTAAGGTGTTTCGGACAGAAAAGACACCATTAAAACTACTTTTGTTACAAAATGAAAGCAAGTATCTTTAATAAATATGAAGCAAGAGTATTAGTCATGGGAAGCCTAAAATTAGTCATCAGTTCTGGGTTTTTTCTATAGCAATTGCTCACTCTTCACCCACACCCAATCAAATGTTAGTCCATGAGGATCAACTGCCTTCATACATTGATCTTCAGATCCCTGATCCAAAATACTTTGCTATTCATTATAAGCAGTTAGTTGCAACTGTGTTTTTTTTAAGAAAAAAAAAATATTAAATACTTGGTATGAAGCATGGAGATTAATTATTTGTTTTATCTAGGTTCAATTGAAATGTATTGCTTGATTGCTATTTAAAGTCATTCTCAATGTAGAAACCTTCCATGCCTGAAATCTGTTTGAGGTGAATCTAACTGCTCACATGAACTATAATAGCATCATCTGCCTCTGGCAAATGTAGTCAATTAATTTCATATGGTTCAAGATGTTTATTCCCTTCCTTTGTGATTGCTTTAGAAAATACCAATCATATAGATCAAATGAAAGAGATCTGATATAGATGACTGTAACTACATAGAAAATTTTAAAAAGTTTAAGGTCGGTGTCATATTCAAAAGCAGGAAAAAGAAATTCTAATATACTGCAATCACTTGTTCCTTTCTTTTTACATGTAATAGAAATTATATTACAAATCATCTTGTGAGTTAAGGGCTTACCCAATAGAACTTTTGTGTGTGTGTGTGTGCCTGCAAGTCATTGTTGATATTTGGAAGCAGTCTGGACAATTACATAAAAATATTTTGACAAGGTTTTTTGAAGAGGTTTGCGATTTCCTGCTTCCCAGGGCTGAGACTGGTACAAGATTACCTAATTGGTTTTGTGCCTTAGGCAGGAGTAGAACTCATGGTCCCCAATGAGTTTTCAGGTTTCTAGTTTAGTGCTACACCCATATATTAAACTTGATCTCACAAATATTTTATGTCAATATAAATAGTAATCTAAATCTGCTTATTCAAAACCACATCCCTCTGAGTTCACCATTTGTTCTCCAGGGAATGTATTTAGGATTAATATTAATATTAATCTTTGTGGATCTAGAAATAAAATTAAGGCAGAAAAAAAGATAGTTACAGGTATATGAAGATAGGACCTAGTTATCAGTAAGGAAAATCGAATGGAAATCTTCTGATATATTTCTTAAAATTTTCAGCATTCTATCATGGAGGAGCAAGAACTATATCAACCAACCAACCCTTTTCAGTTTAATAATTTTCACATCTTTTTATCTTTGAATGGTAAAAATTATTTCAGGATTTCAGGAAGTTATTAGTTAAAGAAGAATGGTATTTATTTATTTAAAAATTAATATTGTTTCCCATCTTCCAACCAACTCTGAGCAACTCCTAATCAAAAGTCTACTTCAAATTAAACACAATCCCACTCCAATCAACGCAATACTGATTAGGGTTATCAAACTTCTAAGTAATTTTATTATCATGTACTTTTTAGTGAGATTCATATACATTTTTTAAAATGTATGCTTCATTCACTCCCATAATATTGTTGAACTATATTATTTATCATGCTAATAGACAGCAATACAATTACTGTATCTATAATTTAATACTGGTAGCAACATTTTATGGTATTCTTTTCAAACTATTATATTCTACATAAGTCAGAAAATAACAATACATAGTTGACCTGTGACTTGAAATTAGCTTTGGAGGGGCACTTCTTGGGATTTTTAAGAATGTAGTCTAGTATCGAAAACTGAACTATATCCCCCCCAAAAGCCAATGGAATAGATTCTATATTGTTCCTAAATAGTATTATTACCAAGAAAATTATGGATGTGTCCACATAGTCACCAGGTATCAAGTTTGATAGGTACACATATCTATTTCTTATGTATATGTGGTATTTTTGAAAAAGATACTTTAGTAATTTAAAATTTCTATTCATATCATGCAATGGTGAGTGTATGTATGTATATGTATATGTATAACATCACCAAGATAGTCTTAATCTTACACGGGAAAGACCCAAACACACCTAAACCTTTGTATGTATATGTATATACATGTGTATACACACACATTTTACAACACTTTAGTCTTAGGTCGTTGCTGTAGGTCACCAGCCATCCTAACCACAGTCTGGAAAAAAAAGGGACCCCCTTGTTCTACATCCTGTCTTTCTACAGTGAAGTTCAAGCATTTTTTGAATGAAAATTATTTTACAGTACCAGAAAAATGAAGCAGGGAAGTTGGCGAGATGAGATTTAGTGAAACCACTGAGATTTCTTAGTATTCTCCCTTCTATTCATCCTCCAAAGTCACTAGCACAATGTAAATAAATGCTTCAACACTGGTAGTTTTTAAGAAGAAATTGGATAATCCTTTGTCTGAAATGGTACAGGGTTTCCTGAAGGGGGTTGGACTAGAAGACCTCCAAGGTCCCTTCCAATTCTGCCATTCTATTCTATTCTAAATAGACGTTCCTGTCATATGTAGGATATGCTAGCTGGTCATATCCAGCCATAGCTAGGAAGAATAAACAGATTACCTGAAGGAAGATGAAGTGGAAGATGGGTGACTAGGCTTATGGCACATCATAGTTCTTGTATGCGCCTATTGCTTACACTTAGAACAATTGACCTTGGAACAAATTTACCATACCTATGGAATACTGGAGGTCTTTTATATAAATGGTGGCTTTTAATATAACTAAAACTGCATTTTCTCATTCACACCATATTTCCCTTGAGACAACTCTTCCCAGTGAAGGTCTCTCCATTAGAAGGTAGAGAAATGAAGTACTAAAGTTCACAGTCCCAACTGGAACACTATAGTAAAGAGCAAATGAAACAGAAATATCAACTGAAATTCGGAAATAACACTACCTATCTGACTATGACACTAAAGTGGAAGTGAAATTAGTTTAATTTTTTGGCTTAATTACAAAATTGACTCTTGTAATTTAAGTAAACTGCTTAATTGCTATAACATTATCAGGGACTTCTATAACTTTTAATAACAGCTTATCCATTAAACAACTAGCTGCAGGGGTTAACCTTTCTATGTTAATATGTCTTTTAATACATAAATGGTCATACTTTTGTTTTATTTTGTTTCGCCTGGCTTTTTCCTCTGTGTAAAACTTTCTGAAATTGAATTAATCTAAAATAATGTTTCAATTCCAAGTCATATTCTTTTGATTTCTTGTTCTTAGAAAAATCCTCCATTGTCATTTGTACCTCAATAATTAATATTCAAAATAAACTGCCTGTAAATAGATTTCTTCAGGTAGCATTTTGTTTCCATGAAAGTTTTAATCCTTTAACTTATCTAAGTTAGTGGTTATTATTTCAGACTACACATCGAGATACAACACTTTAATGCATCTGAACAAGCATATATCTTCATACTGAGGTCCAACTTATAGGCAGAGGGTAATACAGAATGCTTCTCTAGCTTTCTGTGGATAGTTTTAGATGAGGAAGTACTTATTTCATAATTCAGGAAAACTCTTGCCACTTTGTTATTCATAAACTGACTGTTACTTTATTTGGCATATTTGCATTTTTATCATTTGATGTTCATGCAAAAGTGTGCTAGCCAGTGATAAGTACAGGTCTATAAGATATAAATTACCCATTCTATTAAGGATCAAAGGGTTTGTTTCAATAAAGGTAAAGGTTTCCCTGTCCAGTTGTGCCTGACTCTAGGGTGGTGCTCATCTCCAGTTCTTGGACAAGGGAGCAAGTGTTGTCCGAAGACATTTTCCATGGTCATATGGCAAGCATGGCTATATGCTAAAGGCATATGGAACTCTGTTACCTTCTCACCAAAGTGATACCTATTAATCTACTTCATTTGCACGCTTTGAACTGCTAGGTACGCAGCACCTGGGCAAGGAAGGGAGGGGGAATCAGATTATACTATTTGTTACACACTTGACACTCTATTCCCATTTAGACTTGCTTCAGTGGATAGGCCTATAGAGTCTTCTGAAGTTTCACAACTTTGTTATTTAAACACATAGTAAGTGAAATATTACATAGCTTCATGCCAGTTTTTACTATTAAGACTTTCCTACCGTATCTCTTATAAACAGTGTTCTCTTTTATACACCTGATTTTCAGGATACTAGAAAACTAAGCCATTTCCTTCTTTCACATACAAGAGAAATCCAGACTTCAACGTATTCCTACATCGAACAACTATCATTTTTTAAAAAAAAATTGAACAGATAATCTAATCATACAAAATAATGTCACAAATATATGCCAATCTGAGCTATTAGGGAAACAATCATGACAAATATACAGATGTAAGAATTTGGACTTCTGTGCAATGTACTTAGATGATGCTTAGTCTTCAATAAGGGAATGGGACCTTGGTTACTCTCCCTTTGTATGATAGGTCTACCTTCTAATTTCATATCCACTTAATATAACAGGACAGGTATTGTGCAACATCTGGATATCAAAATAATGTGCATAACCATCCCTGGAGCACTATAGCCACAGATATATGAGGCTAATGTACATGGCAACAGATGTATATGCTGGCAAGAAACTTACCTGTGCCGATGCAACATCCAATCACCATTATAAGCCTTGATCTGCCTTACATAAATGGGGGGAAGGGGAAAAGGCAGCCTTCCCCAAACTGGCTAGATTTTAGACAGAAACCACATTGGGAAGGTTACACTAAAGCGCTTCTTATGGTGATTGTGATGGTGATATATAAAATAAAGACAGTAAAAGTTGCAACTCTATTTCCTCCAGGAGATTCTTTTGAACAAGCCCATGTACCATGGTGTAGCAGGGGCCTTTCAAAGATTAGGAGCGCTTCCTACTCTCTGTCTAGGTGCGCTCTCCCTCCTTCCCCGGCTCTTCTCGCTTACCCTGGCAGCGCGGGAAGAATAGGGGTCCTCGAAGAGCGCCCAGATGCGCGGTTGAAGCCGCTTCCAGCGGCCGCCGTTCCCGTCAAGAGGAGACCCGTTAGCACAGGAAGACGAAGAGGCGCCCAGGGCACCCACGTCCTCGATGCCCAAGCGCTTGGCGGCTAACTCGTCGTCGTCGGGGTCGCCAGGAGGCTCGCCGGTAATCAGGTCGGGCGCCTCGAAGATGTCCAGCGCCTCCTCGGCGTCGCGGTGCTGCCTGTAGGTCATCCAACAGCAGGGCTCCACGTCGGTCTCGTCGATGCCCCAGAAAGCCAGCTCTTCCTCGAAGAGCGGCCCGCACACGTCGGCGGGGCAGTGCAACTTCCCGGTGCGGTAGTAGTTGAGCACGTAGGCGAAGACCCCCGGGTGACGGTCGAAGAAGAATTCGCAGCTCGCGCCGCTCCCGCCGCGTGTAACGCCGCCGCCATTGGCCCGCGAACTCCAGCCGCTCCCGCCCACGGTATCCAGGGGGCCGCCGCCGCCGCCTCCAGGGTTGGGGGCCGGGTTGGGGGCGGGCAGAAGCGGCGGCTGGTGGTGCTTCTCTCCGCCGCCAGGGGAGTCGCCTTGGGACTGGCAGGCGAGCAGAGCCAGCCGGGTGCCCGGCAGCGTTTTCAGGGTGCTCCGGTAGGTCTCGTGCCTGGTGCCCCCGACGTTAAGGATCACCCTCTCGTTATCCTCGAGCTTCCCCATCTCTGTGACTCAGACATGACTGCGGGCGAGAAGGAGAGAAGAGATGTGCAAGGCACTTATTTTAAGGCCGCCTGTGGAAAAGACAACAGACTACTAAGTACCAAGCAATCAAGCGGGGAGCGGGAGGAGAAAGGAGCCTTCTCCCAGGGCGCCCTATGGGGAAAGGGAAGGCATTTTAAAGGAAAGTCCCTCACCCGGGGACAAGAACAATCCCAGAGCCATAGCACTGGGAGCCCTCTTTCCAACTTAGACACCTCCTTTGGAATCCAGCTCCTGCTTGTACCCACAGTGAAATCGTCCCACTCTGAAGTCTTCCTTTCCCCTATTTTTCCGTTCCACACGCTTGTCCTTGACCAAACCCAATCTCTTACCGCATCTCCTAATTTGTTCCTTCAAAGTTCTTTCCAAAGTGCGGATAGTAGGCAGGTTATTGGACCTCAGCAGTGAGAAAGTTACTCTCCATCGACTCAGGAGCAAACCTGGCACTCCTAATAGCTATTGTCCTGAGCAAAATTCAGCGCAGGGTCCTCATACTCCTGCAAAAGCATCCTTATTTAGCTTATTATCAGGTGGCTTCTTTTCCTCATCCCTGTCTCCTCCCCTCCTTCCTGTTCCAATGATGGTCTGGACTCTTCCTATAAATGTGCACCCGCCCACCCATTCCAATACAGTCGAAGCTAAAACGCTGTTTTCCTTTAGCAGCGGTCAGTTTGGTCAACCTTAGTCATATTTCCTCTTTGGAATTCTTGAGATCAAGTTGTCTAAACTAAAAGGTGGCATCTGTCCATCTTCTAATTTTAAAAATAAAATACCTCCAGAAGACACCAGAGCTTGACTGGTGGCAAAAACAGTCTTTATGCCCCTCCCCAGCAACGATCTCTAGGCACACCCTGAACAGAATCAATCTTAATGTAACCTTACTAGCAGATTCCTATCGCCAACATCCTCGCCAGATTTTGTCAATTGATTAACAGAAACATCCTGTGATAGTCACTCCCCTCCCCCCCCCCATTTTCACATCCATCTCAATACCTTAATGACGGAGAGAAAGAGGCTTTTCTTCACGTCCCAGTCGCTCTTTGTCCTTTCTCAGTTGCCTCCAGACTCCTTGTGTGCCAGTATCAAACGAAGAATTCCTCTTTGTGTGGCTTTTCCGTCCATCTTCAGGTGGCCATTCCAGCGCCCTTGACTGCCAGCTCCGAACGCAATAAAAGCAACCCCCACCTGCTGCTAGGAAACCTATCTTCTGTCCTTGTGCAAAATAGATGAGACGCTTTAGCATCAGGCAGAGAAAAACCACCACAAAAACATGGGGGATGGAAAGCGTATCAACAGAATGGGCTCCCAGCAAAGGAAAGACTCACTGCTGCTTTAAGCAGACGACTCTTCAACTAGCCCCTGCTATGACTCCAATGTGAACCAGAAAACGCGGCTCCTCGCTTTTTAACAGACGTCGGAGGAAGAGAGCTGTCCTTTCAGCACCACTCTCCAGAAATTACTGTTCGTGACAGACCTTTTGCAATTCTTTCTTTGGCTAGTGTAACTGCCACAATCATTAAAAACAATCTTCCAAAAATTAAAATAGATACAAAAATGCTCTAAAGAAAGCATCATCTCCCTCTTTTCCCTTTACATGCTGATTACACCAAAATAGGAGCATCTAATTTGATCTGATGGGAGCAGCAAAAGTGACACTTAGCTACATGTGCGAATGACACAGAGAACCTCAACACTTTGGCAGAATACTTAATGGTTTCAAAGATTCAATGACTGGCCAACTTAACACTGAAGGAAACATAATAGTGAGGATGGTGATGATGATATTTCTTTAGGTATCTATTTATAATTTTACATCCCAATCCCACTGATCTTGCAAAATAATTTCTCTATAATATTCTAGCTGTCCCTGTGAATAAATAACTTGGATCAACACAACCCTGCCATAATACTCAGAAATTCAAATTTAGTAGCATGCACTTAATGGTTTCAAAGTTCTAGAGAATCCTTTAAAAGTACCGTGAAATGAAGAATAAGATGAATGCTTCTGCCTCCTTCAGAAAATGAAGAGAAATCACTGCATCATACAATTATATTTTAAAATATCTTTCAGTGATGAATATGGAGAAAGATGCAATCATAAAAAGTAGTACAATTCATTGATAATTATTTCCTCTTTTGAACAGAGTTCAGGGAATCTGAAGGATATCAGGTTGAGATGTGTGCATCCTATTCAGATTCTAAACAGTTAAACTTTTTTGTACTTGATAGGCATTTGTCACTGAAAATCTCAAGAACTTCCTGAAGATAACTATGAAATATTTAAATGCACTACTATCTTTTACATACTCTCTCAATCAAATATCAGTTTGATCTCCCAAATAATCTCTGATATCTTCTGGATATCAAAGGAAATGTATATTTTCACTAGACAGTATAAATATACATAGGAGACACCATGAGAGAAATGTCCCAAATAACCCTTAGAAACTGCCTGCACCCAATAAAGTCTAGGGATTTGTTTGCAATGCAGGTAACTTTGCATTGCTTGAATCAAATTTATATCTCTGCTTGTGTGTTCATTCCTTCCAGGTTTTTTTATTAGAAACACATTTTGTGAGTATATGAGATGTTTTTGGGTTAACCAGTCAGGCCCTGGGGAATTTTTTGTTTGCTTCTTTCTTTATATCAACTTCTTTTAAAAAGAAACTGTTAATAATGGATTTCAGAATTATATTTTCAACTATAAACTTATTATTAAACTCTTGCATATTATGTTTTTTATTTCACTATTATTAGTGCGTAAGAAATCAAAACATAATATATTTTAAAAAACACAAGCAGTCCCCAGTTTGAAAAATCCATTAAGAATTAAAAATACATGAGACTCCTACTACAGAAAATTCAGCAACAAATGTTATTGAAAGATAGTTTAAAAGAATTTGCTTAGCACTTTTTCATATTTGAAAAGAAATTAAAATATGAAGTACATTTGTAATAGTCTGCTTCAACTGTATGTGAAAGTCTATTAATACAAAGTAAGTCAGACATATAGGTTTATTAGTGTAAGTAAAAGAGAATAAAAAGACAAAACATGATATACAACTTTTTTCCCCGCACACCATTTCCTAATGTCTTATCCTAATATGTTCAGCTTCATAGTCCACTTCATTGTCCACTTTGATTTTCTTTTATAATTGTTTTTAAGCTAGAAGCCTAGTGCAAAACAAACATTTTGAAAAGAAATGTGGAGCATTTTGAGTTCAGGAAATTATTTGGTATACCAAGACTGAATGTAAGTCACAATGCTGCCATGAAAAATCCAACACTGCCAAAGATCTAATTTCTGCTGCTATTTTTAAAACAATCAAAACTCACATCATCTGGGTAGCTGATAGATCAAACCTATCTGCTCCACACTCCTGCTATGAAAGATAACATCAGGAATGCATTGCAGAACTGTTGTTTTTTTTTTGCTCTCAGGCATCCTATGAATTATGTCAGTAACTATCAGTATCTGTGAGAAGGTGGTGTCCTCTTGCCTTTTCTCATATCTCTCCACAAATTTGCTGAACAGAAATATTACATATAAGAAAGCACAAGCTCACTGAAGCAATAGATGTGAGGCACATTGAATTATTTTGTACACTGCCCAACAACTCTGTTCACATTCTTATAATTTATTTCTTTTGAACGTCAATCGTTATTGTGCAGAGAGAACTGATTAAATATGTACTGTTAAGGCTACAACTTATAATAGATATTTTCCTGTGCTGAAATTCTTTAACTACAATACAATAACATTTTCTATAACTAGATCACCTAAATATTGTCAAAGGAATGTCTACCCATCTTATTTTTCTACACATCTTTATTTTCACTTGTGGAGCAATTCTAGTTGTGAATAAGGATGTGAACACAATATGAGGGGATATGGCTATTCATGCTAGCTCCTTATTTATACATCTGCCTATTTAGGCATGGATTTCCTCACAGTAAGTGGGAACTATGAAGATTCTACTTTATAAAGTTTTAAGAAATAATTAAAATACAAGTTGTTCAAGAAGGCTTTTGATATTTGAATGCGACCATTTAATTATTTACTTCTCATTTTGGCTTATTATTGTAAGAACTTATATTTTTGGTGTCATTTTTTGATTTTTAGCTTTCAGCTGTTTACTATGATATGGTGTGGGTGTTTTTATTACAAATCATGAATTATAACCCACTGAGAGCTGATTGACTGTGGTATGCTAAAACTGAATAAATAAATTATATTTTTGTTCAGTTGAAAAATAAAACCATTTATGTCAGGGGTCGCCAATGTTTTGGACCTCAGAGATCACCAAACTCATAATTGTAAATCCCATGGACCAGAGACTCTGGGAAAATCCCCAGAAAAGTCTGCAGGAAAATTCCCCATCCCATTTTTCTACCAGCTGATCATTCTTTATTTGGGATTTCAGGATACTGTTTCCAGCTCCATTTTCAAGAAGGGAGAGAGAGACTTTTGGCTTCATGCAAGGAAAGCAGCAGAAGCAGCAGAAGTCTTTCTTTCTCTCCACCAAACTCTGCCAGAAATGAGTCTTTGTGAGACTTGTCGCACTGGCGCAGCCTCTTGGAGCAGGATGCCTTGCAGGGTCCCAAAGACTCATTTCTGGTGGAGTTTGGGGGAGAGAAAGACAGACTTTTGCTGTTTTCCTTGCATGCAGCCAAAAGCAGAAGAAAGAAGCAAAAAGAAGCAGCCCGATGGCCAGGCCAGGTGCATGGGGCAAGTGGGGCAAGTTCCTCCCCTCTGCCCTTTCCCCCTCCCCTCACTATCTCGTGTTGTTCGCAATGCAAGCGATGCAAGCGTTGTGTTCCTACGCAGCCTGGATTAATTGCTTTTGGGGGTGCTTTGGGAGTGACATTTCTCTGCGGACCACCAAAAATTTCTTGTGGACCACCAGTGGTCCCCAGCCCACTGGTTGGCAACCACTGCTTTATGTGATATTGTTATTGTC